CATATAAATAAATCATTATAAATTCAATAAATAAAAATAAACATAAATAATGTAAAATAAATAAATGAATAGTAACAAAAATAAGAGAGGGGTAATACAAAAGAATGAAGAATAAAAATAAAAATAAAATATAATTGATTTAAATAAAAATAATCGTTGACATGAAAGAATATAATTAAAATAAACATCAATCATAAATATAGAAAAACGATAAAGAAGAATGATAATATTAAATTGAAAACAGTATTTAAAATGAAAAATATAATAAAAACAAAAAAAAACAATAAAAATCCTATTATGATATAAAAATAAATACAAATAACATTCCATTATCACTTTTTATTAACGAAAATGTGACGACAAAAATAAGAATAGAATAAAATAGAAATAATACTTATTCTTCATTCATAATATTTAAAAACAAGAAAATAACTAATAAATAACAATAGGAATGGTGTTTACTCAAAAACATCCAATTCAGTATGGAACTTATATACCTGAAAAGTTTAATGTAATTGGAGAAGAATGTTTTACAGAATGTTATGACTTTGTTGATTTTGATATTCCAACACATATTACTAGATTAGAGAATAATTGCTTTGCTGGATGTAAATCATTAGTATCAATTAATATACCTACATCAATTAGTGAATTACCTTTTGGTTGTTTTCAATGTTGTCCATCATTAAACCCAATTAATATACCATCTTCTGTTAGTGAAATAGGAGAAAGTTGTTTTTGGAAATGTTATTCATTAAAATCAATTAATATACCATCGTCAGTTAGTATATTAAGAAAATATTGTTTTTGTTGGTGTAGATCATTAAAAACAATTAACATACCAACATCAGTTAGTGTAATATCACCTGGTTGTTTTAAAGAATGTTATTCATTAAAATCAATTAACATTCCGTCATCTGTTAAAATAATAGGAGGGTTTTGTTTTAAAGGATGTAGCTCATTAAAAACAATTAATATACCATCATCTGTTAGTAAAATAGGAAATGAATGGTTTTATGAATGTACATCATTAACAACAATTAATGTACCATCATCAATTAGTGAAATAGGAAATGATTGTTTTAATGGATGTTTATCGTTAAATTCAATTAATATACCATCATCAATTACATCAATAGGAGATGGATGTTTTAATGGATGTAGATCATTGACATCAATTACTATACCAACAACAATTAAAGAAAGAGGAAAGAATTGTTTCAAAGAATGTACATCATTAAGACTAGTAAAAATAAATTCACCTTCAGTTGGGTCATTACCTAATAATTATTTCCAAATGTTTAATTGGATGAGGTCAGTTGAAATACCAACTACAATAACATCAATTGGTGCACAATGTTTCATTGGTTGTAGGTCATTAACGTCAATTGACATACCAACATCAGTTAGTAAAATAGGAGATTACTGTTTTAAGATGTGTTCATCATTAACATCAATTAATATA